AAAGCATAGCAAGCAACCGCATCGCACACCATCGCCGAGAGCACAGCTTAGCACACGCACGGAGGTTCCGGTGGTTCCGAGCAATTAGAGCGATCAGCGAGTGTTCAAGGAGGTAACACCGGTTTACCTTTAATTTGATCATGTTAAAGATATGTTAGTTCGGTTTTGTCGAAATCATGCTCATGTAACGGCTTTAAGCCATTCGGCCGTACGTATAATTCATGTCGAGCACATCATGTTTAATTCGAAATCCCTCGAGTAACTGTCATGTTATCAGCCCTTTTATGTTAAATGATGTTCAGTCAGTCCGAGATGTTCGAGGAAATTTCATGTTTAAGTGTTGTTTTGGCCGAAGGAAGTGGCCGTGCACATAGCGCGTGCCACCGGCCGCTCATGCGTAGCAAGTACGTTAAGTAAATATTCCTTCGAACATTCATGTCTATTTACTCAGTAAATATTGTTTCATGATCAGTTATGAGTAAATTGTTGAGAGAAAAGTCAGTTTGGTCGTGAAACAGCTTACCGCCATTGGCGGTGCACGGTGCGCCGCGGCCGAGTCCAACATGTCGTGAAAAATTCTTGTTTCATAACGCCCGTAACGGCAGTTAGTGGTTGGCAATGCACGTACGCACTTGCCACGCCCAGTCGAGCACGCTAGCGTGCGGTAGTATCAGATACCGCCTGTGACGCCCCGTTCGTTTATGAATAATTTTGGATTATTATTATTATCATTATTATTGTATTTATCATTATTTGTGGCTTATATTATTATTAGTAATTAATTGCCTAAATGCTAAGTGATTTTATGTGCCTGATTGTATTTATCATATATAAATATTAATTGTGGTATTTTATTTTAATTATTAAACACTATAAATATTTTTATTAAATTATTATTATTGTAATTTTTATTCTTCGTCGAGCCGAACCCGCGAGCCCGCGCTCCGCGCCTAGCCCGCGCCCGAGCCACGCCCCATCCGCCCCATTCTCTTCTCCTCCTTCCTTATTGGTGTTGTGGCTTATTAGGCAAGTGACTTGGATGGAAAGTCACTAACCCTAACTCTTTATATATGAGTTGAACTTCTCCCCTCTCCTCTCATCACTTCAGCCGCCACCCTCCCCTTCTCCCTCACTCTCCCGATCCCTCCCTCTCGTTCCCTTCTTTTTCTCTCGGCCTTCGCCGCCGCGCCCAGGCCAGCGTCCCGCCTCCGCCATCGCCGACGACCAGGCCAGCCCCATTGCACGTCCAGTAGTTGGCGATTTCCCAGGCCTATGTTCGTGTACCCCGTTGCTCCCGACGCCCAGCAAGAGCTCGCGAGACGCCCGGCAACCGCACGCGACGTCCAGCGCGCCCGCAAGGCCCGATCTCTGCACGCCCGTGCACTCCATCGGCCCTCCTACCCTTCTCTCGTGTGTTTTACCCCGAGAACGGTACAAGGCTGATACTCCATGTTATTTTATACATATATATGCCTTGAAATGATTCTTGTTTTGAGATCTCATGTTATAGCTATTTAAATGATCAATTTTTATTCGTATTTATGTGTTTATGTCATTCGAGTGAGATCTCTTGATAAATCGTGTTATTTCTGTGGATCTAAGGAACATTTGAAGTCCTTGGCCTTATGATGAAGGCCTTGGACGAAATTGCATATTAAATTAATTGATATGCATTTTTGAATCGTATTGTGTTGCTGGATCTTGGAAAA